GCTCTCTGGCACTGCAGGCAACTCTTACCGACTGAGCCAGGGAAGAATTGGCAGAGGAGGTTTCTGAAACTATATTTTTAATAATGCAATTAATTTCCTGCGCTTTCCAGGTTTTCTACAGTGAAAAGAAATCACTTCGATAGAATAAGATTGGAATTGACTCGGGGACTGGTTGGGAATCTGTCCTCTTGGGGGAAAACTTCCTGAGGGGCCAGTGAGATACTCTCCCAGGTCAGAGATGGTGCCCTTCTGACCTTTGACCCAACCACGGGGAAAAGATGAAGACAGACGCTGGTCAGCAAGGCTGGAGTGGTGAACCATCTGGGACTGAGCTTCTCTGTGTCAGGGGCTGTGCGTGGAGCTGGTGTTCCAGGGGAGGCATTCGGATGGCCTCTCCCTGAACACACTCATAGTTTCGACTGCGAAGGTTCATGCACTTGTCACATGTAATTCTAGAACAATCTGTCTGGATCTGTGGCCAATAAAACAGCAGAGCTGTAGCTAAGCTGAAGAAGAATAGCTGGCAGATGGGTGGGAACTATGTTGAGAAACAGCTGTGAGTGCAAAGGAGAAGGGTGCGTCCTGGCCCACAACCACTCTCAATGGTTAGAAATGACTGGAACGTGACAAACCAACTCAAATCTCCCTAGGGTAAGTACCTCAGATCTTCCTGGATGTCTGGATCTGTGGCCAATAAAACAGCAGAGCTGTAGCTAAGCTGAAGAAGAATAGCTGGCAGATGGGTGGGAACTATGTTGAGAAACAGCTGTTAGTGCAAAGGAGAAGGGTGCGTCCTGGCCCACAACCACTCTCACTGGTTAGAAATGACTGGAACGTGACAAACCAACTCAAATCTCCCTAGGGTAAGTCCCTCAGATCTTCCTGGAACTCACAGCAGAAAATTCATCGAAGGACTTCACTGGAGTGGAGGTCACAGCAGGCTGGAGCTTTCCTGGAAGGGGCAGGGCTGTATCTGAAGGTCCTATGGATGGGGAGGGTGGAGAGCAGGGATGGGTGGAGACCCAGCAATGGACCAGCGGAGTGGCCGCCAAATGTCATTGGCAGGAGTATCCTGTCCCGCAGCCCCGGAGTGATCCTAAAATGCATAGTCCAGAGCCCTATTCCTAGAAATTTCTTCTTCTCCTTTTGTAGATTTGGAGTTGATTCCAAGAATCTGCATTTTTCACAAGTACTCTGGATGATTCCGGTGCAGCATGTCAAACATTAGACTTTGGCTACTATATTAGTGTGGGCTGTCATGACAAAATACCACAAGCTGGGTGGCTTACACAACAGCAGTTTATTTTCTCACAGTTCTGAAGGCTGGGAAGTTTCAGACGGAAACTGGCAGCACTGAGTTTCTGGTGGGAGCTCTCCTCCCGGCTGTCAACGGCCACCTTCCTGCAGTCTTCTCACCCGGCCTTTCTTCTGTGCATTTGTGATCTCTGGTGTCTCTTCTTCTAAGAAGCCCAGTCCTATCAGGTTAGGGCCTCATCCTGTGGCCTCATGTAACTTTGGTCATCTTCTTAATTATCTTCCATCTCCAAATTTAGTCACATTAAGAGTTTCAAACTATGAATTTGCGTGCATGCATGCTCAGTAGCTGTCATGTCTGGCTCTTTGCAGTCCCTGCCAGCCTACCAGACTCCTCTGTCCATGGAATTGTCCAGGCAAAAATACTGAAGTAGGTTAGCCATTTCTTCCTCCAAGTGATCTTCCCAACCCAGGGACTGAACTTGCATCTCCTACACTGGCAGGCAGATTCTTTGCCACTGAGCCACCTGGAAAGCCCTAATTATGAATTTCAGGGGACACAAACCAGTCCATAGAGGGTACCTACTCCTATGGAAGAAGAGTGGGGCCTGGTTACCTGGTTGAGGATGGTGGAGGATGTTCAGTGAGATGGGCCAAGATTCTGGCAAAGGATCCTTTGCAGGGAGGTGACTGATATCAGATCTGTCTCCTCTTTCAGACCATTTGATGATCAGCACATAGCAAGCAGGGGTTTTACTACACTATGACACAAGTAATGTTATATGACTTTATTTTTCTAATATTAAATGACATATGTCTGTGAGACTCCAGCCCTGCAGGAATAAGAACTTTCAGTCATCCCTGGGGTGAGTAATCTCTCTAGGCTTCCTTACAAGGTCTGGAGCACCTGGAGAAGGTGCCCTGGCCTCGCACCATACCAGTCGCCATGGCTGTGCTCACTGTTTAAACCTGTATGGTCTCTTGAAGGTGGCAAGTGACTCCTTGGTGTCTTGCTTTGTAAGATATCTTTTGCCAGGGCTGGGACACCCAGGACCTGGAATGCAACTTCCCTTTAACATGACAAGGTGATTTTCCTCTGATTCCACCCTGACCCCTGAACAGCCTCATTACTCCTTTAGCTCAAAATTTCTCCCCAGCCAAACTGAAGAGCGTGCACAAAGCACTGAGGTCTCTAGCGCTCAAAATCCCCTTCCTGGTTTCAGGGAACGTCCACTGCATCCTTAGACCTAGGTCATTGATCCTACACCACTCCATGCCTTCTGCTCTGGGAGACAAGAACTTCCATGACCTGTGCCCAGTAGGTCTGTGATGGAACAATGCTGTCCCTCGTTCTTGGTTGGGGCTTGGGAGGAACAGGTGAAAGCTGGTGATCTGGTGGAAGCTGAGAGCTTGCCTTGCAGGGTTTAATGGCCTATCCCTATCAGCTCCCTTGGAGTATTCAGGTCTCTGGAACATGATGCATAATATGCAGGATCACCCAACCTTGGAAAGCAGGAAAGGGCCAGAAGGTATATTTCCTGTCTGAAAAGTAATGGGGTCAAAAGACATGGACAGTGTGTCCATCAGAATGAGACGATTCTAGAATGTCAATGCCAAAGAGAACTGAGAGCTCATCGAATCAGTTTCCTTCTTCTACAGATGAGGAAACAGAGTCCAGAGAAGGGAAGGAACTTGCCCAAGGTCTCACAGCAGGCTGGTTCCAGGACAGGAACAAGATCCCCCAGATCAATGAGTCCCACATTGGCTCTGCTCTTCTCATTCTCAATGGATGTAGGCCTGGTTCCTCTGTTCCACCCATATCTTATTATTTACCTGGTTCTACTAACCATACAATTACTACATACTTCATCAGAAAATGTGCAATAGATCCTAAAGCCCTAGGGAAACTACATATATCCATATACACACACATATGTGCACACACTTCCAAACTCTTAAGGTAACCCCTGTCAGCACTGGGAAACCTATTCTCCCAGGACAGGGGGGGGGAAATTCCCAGTTCAGAGGCCTGGTGCCCAGCTGGTGGAAGCAGCTTCACACTTCATCTCCCCTAATGACAAGTATGAACTACAGTAGCCAGTCCTCACCATCAAGCTCAGAATAGGAATGGGTGGCCACCAGAACACAGTGGAGAAGATCCATAGATCCCTCCCTTAGCAGTGTTAAACCCACAGGGCTTAGCTGAGACCTCATCTGTGAACCATTAGGAAAGTGGGGAGCATATTTGTGCATTTCTTTGAGACCCAGAAGCCATGTGTCCTGCCCTTGGCATGAACACAGTCAGCACTGACCTCTGCAGTGAGCTGTTCAGACCCAGCGAGGAAGGCTGAGACCACGATGGTCAGTGAGAANGCAGTGAGCTGTTCAGACCCAGCGAGGAAGGCTGAGGCCATGATGGTCAGTGAGAACAGAGAGAACAGCACCAGCATTAGTAGCGGTACCAGCCAACACTGCTTATTATGTGCCAAGAGCCCTACATGGTTATCTCACTTAATTCCCAGAATGAAGTGAGGACAAAGGTGGAGCTGCAGGTAAGAAGGGGGCTGCAGAAAAAAAAAAAAAAAGAAGGGGGCTGTGAGAGACATAGCTGGTGGGAGTGGGGCTGTGAGGGCCAGGAGAAGCATAAGTGGCCCCCACGTTCCTCTGATGAAATGTTCTAAGCAAGTTCTGGCTCTTCCCCTGAACTCACCCCCGAAACCCTTCAGCCATCAGCTGTGAGCCTCTGCTGGTTGGGAAAGCAAGTGTGTGTATGTGTCCTTCTGGCCACAGCTCTATAACCAGGGTGGAGAGAGAGCAAGGGAAGGAGGTTGATTCTGGCCCCCAAATCATGCTCTCCTCTCCTCCCCATATCTGGGGGCTCTTCCTGGCCTGGCTGGCGCCAGGTCACAAGGCCTCCCTTACATGCCTTTCCAGGTGGCACAGTGCTAAGACTCTGCCTGCTAATGCAGGAGGCGTGGGAGACCCAGGTTTGATCCCTGGGTTGGGAAGATGCCTTGGAGAAGGAAACAGTACCCACTCCAGTGTTCTTGTTTGGAAAACCCCATGGACAGAGGAGACTGGCGGGATACAGTTCCTGGGGTTACAAAGAAGGGGACATGACCTAGTAACTGAAGAGCAACAACAAAGCTGCCCCTGTGCAGGTGTCTCTGTGGGAAGAAGCGCTGAGGCGCTGCCTTCACTGCTTTGTCGGGGAGTGACTCATTTACTTGGGCATCAGTTTGCCATAATTATTCATGTGACCCTCCTTCTTCCTGTTCCTCTAGGCCCGGCACAGGGGGGTGGGGTGGGGTACTAAATTTCTGCATGACCAACCTTCTGAGCAGCAGCAGGGGGCCAGGTAGGTGGACTCCCAGCCAGAGAAGAGGGGCCACGTGGCAGCGGGGCCCACAAGCAGACTCACTGAAAGCAGGACGGACACTGGCTGTTCCCGAATGATGGGCAGCACACTCAACCTCTCACCTACAAAGCTCCGGAAGCTGTTGCAGCAGGCCTGAGACACTAGTGGTTTTATCTTTCTCATTCAAACACCAAGCAAACTGACTTAGGGACAAAATTTTCTAAGTCAAAATGGAAAGACCAGGTGAAACACTGAGGCGACCAGTTCCTTAAAGACTGCTGCATCGTTCAGGACACTAGAGATACCCACTCAGAACTCACCTTGGAGAGTCCCAGGGACCCTGGGAAATGGACTCCCAGGAGAATGTCCATCCAGAGGCTTGGGGGGCTGAGTCCCAGGATACAGGCCCGCACACAGAGTTGTTTCTTTGGCAGCATCCAAATGATTTCCTAATAATGAAAGGCAAGCAACAAGAGTCAAAGAATGAAGAGTAAAGGAATAAGATTGGGGTTCCTTGAGGGAATAGGACTACTCTTTTGTCATCTTTGTACCCCTATTCTGACCCTTCAAAATCTAACAATACACATTCAATAAATACTTAATACATAGTAATGTCAATACTAATTGAACTGTATCTCACTTAAGTTTCATAATTGCCTCATGAAATAGGCATGGTCATTACTGTCCTCATTTTCAAAATGATTAAAGCTCAGAGAGACTGAGGGCTGAATCCAAGGTCACTCCACTGCTATTGGGTAACATGGATGTGAGATCCATGCAGCTGCCACTGTGTGACATGTTTTTGGCCCAGAAAGAGCAATAGCCAGAGAAGGCAATGGCAACCCACTCAAGTAATCTTGTCTGGAAAATACCATGGACAGAGGAGCCTGGTAGGCTGCAGTCCATGGGGTTGCTAAGAGTCAGACACGACTGAGCAACTTCACTTTCACTTTTCACTTTCATGCACTAGAGAAGGAAATGGCAACACACTCCAGTGTTCTTGCCTGGAGAATCCCAGGGACGGGGGAGCCTGGTGGGCTGCCGTCTATGGGGTTGCACGACTGTCCGACTGATGCTGGACATGACTGAAGCGACTTAGCAGCAGCAGCAACGGTGAGCAACAGAGTCCTTGCAATGAGGATGTACAGAGTTGGGAGCAGATTGTAATCACAGAAACAGTGGCACCCTCTCTGGCTCACCCTGCTCAAATTTATCTATTTCTGGTCACTTTAAATCCAATTTGAATTCCATTATTTCATTCTGGGAATGGAATACATAGGAAATGTTGTGTCACCCTTCAAGGTTGTTGACAGAACCATTGCATCAGTTAGAAATTCCCCACAATTGCTTGAAACAGAGGCTTAAAGATTGGCTTAAAGAATCTGCATCTCTCTTTCTCTAATGTAACTCGAAATGTAGCAGTGGGTGGTTCAGAGCTAGTGCAGCACAGCCATGATCCTGTCAGGTCTCACACTCTCATCTTTCTCCTCTGCCATCCTGAGGATGTAGCTTCTAGTCTTTAGTGTGCCTCGTGGTCACAATATGGCTATTAAAGCCCCACCATCACATCTGTATTCCAGGCAGGAAGGAAGAGGAGGTGGTAAAGGAAAAAAAGGGCATATATCAACTGATTTAGCCCCCTCTTTTAAGGAGTTTGTCTAGAAGCCTCTTTCAGCAATGTCCACTATAACTTATTGGCCAGGACTTACAGCAAGTCTATTCCTAGCTTTAAGGGAGAATTAAAACTGTATATTTTTAAGGTGAGCACTTTGACACCTCCAATATAATCAGATTTCTTTTACTAACAAAAGAGGAGAGTGGATTTTGGGTGAGCCCCTCACCAACTCTGCTACAACTTTGCCTTAATTACTTTGGTCTCAGTAGTTAAGGACAGCCTTAGGGCTGTAGTTAAGGACACACCTTCATAGCGACAAAGCTGTAAGTGACTTGACCATGAGAAACCTGCGGTGAGCCTGGCCTTGCTCTAAACTCTTCCCAGCAGCAGCCTCAGTAGCGCAGGCTGTCTCTGGACTGGCCTCGGGTAGGAAAGCACCTGTGTTGGGGGGAGAATAAATACCTTTGGCTTGACTATGTCCTGTGGCTGCTGTGAGCTCAGGGGAGCTGATAAATGTAATAGTACCTCAGAGACTATGATGGCCAAGATCTCACCACTAAGAACCAGCAGCACTGGCATCATCTGAGAGCTTGCTAGAAATGAAAATCCCCAGTCCCCCCCGCCCCCACAGCCCTACTGCATCTGTATTTTCATCAGGCTGCAGGTGATTCAGGTACATTAAAGTTTCAGAAGCATTTTCCTCTAGCAGCTGTCCCCAACCTTTTGGGCACCACAGACTGGTTTCATGGAAGACAATTTTACCTTGGTTTCAGGATGATTCAAGCACATTACATTTATTGTGCATTTTATTTCTATTTTTATTACATCAGCTCCACCTCAGATCATCAGGCAACAGATCCTGGAGGTTGGGGACCCCTGCTCTAAAGCAGTAGACCTGAATCATAAGGGACTCCAGGAGACAGGTGAGCTCACCTAAGACACTTCCTCCAGCATGATGAAGTATCTTGGGAAAGTCATTCTCCCTCTCTGAGCTCAGTCTTCCCATCTGTTAGAGAAGGGGTTTGCACCACACCCTTGCTCTGAAAAATGTGGTCTTGGATCAACTGCATCAGCATCGCCCTGGTAGACATGCAGAAATTCAGCCCAAGCCAGAGTGATGAAAGAAGAGTCTGCATTTTGACAGCCTACCCAGCTGAGGCATCTGTACATTACAGTTGGAGAAACCCTGCCCTAGATGCCCTCTGTGCTCTAAAATGAGAATTCAGTCATTTTAGGCAACTGGTCCCAGGGTCCCAGCCTATAATGTGAATGACGGAGACCACTGATTCCTGGAGCTTCTTGGGTTGGGCTAAGTGGAGACAAACTCCCTTTGAAAGTGCAGTGGCTGGCAGAGCACAGGGTGGCAAGCCATGCAGCTGGTACTGAGGGTGCCTGGACTAAGTCCAGAGCTGGGATCAGGCTGGGGCTTCCTCATCAGGGATTTCTCCTCTGGAGATGGATGCGTACCTGGATCCAGAGGTGCAGCTGCAGGGAGTGCTCTGGGGATGGCTCTGGACCACACATCCTTCCTATCCTTCTCCCTCTCCCGGGCAGAGGTGGGCACGCCTGAGGTACACAGGTGAGCAGAGAGTGTACCATGAGTCTGCTGCCAGCTTTCAGCAAGAGGAGGCGGCGGGGCCTGCCTCACCAGTCTTCTTGCCCCTGGGCGCTGCATTTTTTAAAAAGAATCCTTTAAAACTGCTTGATGTTTTGGACTAAATAAAGCTGTGCTCCCACTCGGACTGAGCTTATAATGGAGTCTAATTTTATAAAGAAACCAATTAATGGTTTTGTAAATATAAAAGAAAGGATCCCTGCTTTTTTTCTTGACCAAAAGGCCCCAGAAGTTAGTCCTGTAAAAATGTCAAATCTTGCTTTAAAGAATGGCAGGACTTCTCCGAGGAGAATAACAGGAAATGACTCACAGAGGGCGCCCCAGGCCACTCAGCTGTACAAAGGGGCCCCCTGCGCAGTAATGCGAGGCTGCTGACCAACCGACTGCAGGGAGGAGAGTGCCCCGCCCACGGAAGAGGTGGGGGGCTGCTGTCTTCTCTAGGCTGGGGCTCTCTGAAGGGCCCAGGGATGCTGGAGCACTGGGGGTGAGGCTGAGAGTCTTCTACAAGATTTGGCACCTTGAGGAAAACTCACCTAGAAATAATGCTAAATAAACCACACAAAACTGCCAGTCCGGGGGCTCTTACCTTTGCTGAACTCGCTCTGGCTCTCATCTTGATCTCATTTGATGAGCTGGTGGAAACCCAAAAGACATCTTCCTGGTTTCTTGTGGATTGACTCAGGCCTTAATCTTCCATTCTGTCATCTAACTTTCTATCTTGTTTCTTTTTCACTTCCTTTCTCCTCCTTCCCCTTCTCCCCTGTTCCCTGGGCCCTGTTCCCTTCTCAATCCAGAGGCTTGCCTGGTCCAAGGCCCTTACTAAGGACAGCAGCTCTGCTCCAGAGGCCCAGCTCTTCCAGTGATGCACGAATCAGAAGATATTCAGATGGAACACATCAGTACAGCCACAGCAGCCGGGGCCTGGAGCAAATAGAAGGACTGTGTTATTTTTTTTTGTTCTTGAAAAAAAGAAGCCATCAGTTTTGAATATTTTCTATGCCAGTTGTTGACTGGCTGCTGCTTTGAGCCCCTGTACTAGTCAGAAAGCATAATCTACCTCAGATGGTTCAGGAAACATGAATGAAGGACTGTCTATAGAGGTGTGGATGCAATTGCTTTACTTATCCATTGCTGTGTCACAAATTGTTGTTGTTGTTTAGTACGCTTCCTTCCTGTTAGTGTCAAAGTTAGGCTCATAGAAGGCATGGGTGTTGCTCAAGGTCACAGCAATTTGGTGGCAAAGCAGAGCTCAGACACCGGCTGCACTGTGAGGAAGGGCAGTGAAGTTTTCTCAGCATCTCGTCGAGGGAGCGGGAAGGCAGCTGCAGGCCCCAAAGGCTCTGAGAAAAGGCTGTTGTGGGGCTCCATAGAGCATTCTTAAGTGTAATTGACTTTTAGGCATTAAACTTTTACCAGGATGAGCTCACAAGGTCTGTAGGGAGAAGGAGAGTGCCTGGCATTTCCTGCCTCTTGGGGCAGCGTCTGGGGTGCAGAAAAGCCCATCCTCCAGGCTGCAGGATGGAGCCCTCCCCTGGGAGACAGAAGAAGGTTGAAGCCCCTGAAGAGACTGCAGGCCAGGATACTGAGTGTTCAGTGGCCAACGGGTCTAACTAAATCTGGGGGATAGGGGGCTGAGGATAAGATCACCCACTCAGTAGCCTTCCTTTGCAATGTGTCTACTGTAGGGGTGGGGAGAAGGGACAGCAGACTGTCCGTTTTCACAGGGAACGCCCCCAACCCGACCATGTCCACTCACATTTTTGTCCCCAAATCTGCCCCATGATGGACCTGCTTTAAATCATGACCAATCTCTGGACATCAGTTTTCTCAGCTGTATAATGAGGAGTTGGAAAGCATGATGTCTTGAAATGTTTTTCCCTAATGAAGGGGTTGTTGTTTAGTCACTAAGTCATGCCTGATTCGTTTGCAACCCAATGGACATTGCCCTCCAGGCTCCTCTGTCCATGGGATTTCCCAGTCAAGAATACTGGAGTGGGTTGGCATTTCCTTCTCCAGGGGATCTTCCCTACCCAGGGATCAAACCTGCCTCTCCTGGATTGCAGGTGGATTCTTTACCCTGAGCCACCAGGGAAGCCTCAGTGGTGATGCTAGTGGTAAAGAACCCACCTACCAATGCAGGAGATAAGAGATGTAGATTCAGTCCCTGGGTTGGGAAAATCCCCTAGAGAAGGGAAGGGCTACCCACTCCAGCATTCTTGCCTAGAGAATCCCATGGACAGAGGAGCCTAGCAGGCTACAGTCCATAGGAACGCAAAGAGTCAGAAACAACTGAAATGACCTAGCACATCCCAATTCTTATCCCAAGGTTTCTTTCCAAATACATTGAGGCAGCCACTCTGCACCCCCACGCAAAATATCACCTTTGTTTGATGTGTCTCCCCAGCAGCCTCCTCCTTCAGTTTCAGGACTAAAATAATAGTTCCAGAGGCTTATTGAGATTTCTATTAGAATTCAAAAACTCAAGGGCTTTATTTTAACAGGCTTATTAAAGTATAATTGACATACCACAAACTGCACATATTTGAAGAGTACAATTTGATAAATTTTGACACATACTATTCATTTGTAAAACCATCAAGTTTCACAAGTGAAAACCACCACTATCAAAATGGTAAACTAATCCATCATCCCCAAAAATTTCTTCATGCCCCTTTATCCTCCCTTTTTACCAACTCTTCCCCACCCCCAGGTTACCAGTGACTTACTTTCTGTCCTAACAATTCATTAGGTTACATTTTCTTCTTTCAAAAGGAAAAGGCAACCTCCAGAATGGTAGAAAATATTTGCAAACCATGTATCAGATAAGGTGCTAATGTCCAAAATAATCAGATAAAGAACTCACACAACTCAGTAGCCAAAACCCCAAACAACCCATTGAAAAATGGACAAAAAAAGGTGAGTAGACATTTTCCAAAGAAGACATACATATGCCCAGCAGGTACATGAAAAAGTGCTCGTCATCACTAACCATCAGGGAAATGCAAGTCAAGCCACAGTGAGATATCACTTCGCATCTATTGGAATGACTATTGTAAAAAAGACAGGACATAGCAAGTGTTGGTGAGGGTAAGGAGCAAAGGGAACCCTTGCATGTTGTTCGTGGGAACAAAATGGTATAGCTAAGATGGAAAACTGTATGGAGGTTCTTCAGTTTCAAAACAGATTCCCATGTGATCCAGCAAACCCTCTATAGATTATATATCCAAAGGAAATGAAATCACAATCTCAAAGACATATCTGTACTCCAGAGTTCACTGCAGTGTTATTCACAATTGCCGAAGCAAGGAAACCACTTCAATGACGATAAATGGATGAAGAGATAAAGAAACTGCCACGTATATATGTGCAGTGGAGTGCCATTTACCACGGAAAAGAAGGAAATCCTCTCATTTGCAACAACATGACTGAACCTGGAGGACATTTTGCTAAGTGAAAGAAGCCAGACACAGAAAGCCAAATGCTACATGATCGCACTTATATGTGGAATCTAAAAAAGTCAAACTCACAGAACCAGAGAGGATAAGAGTGGTTACCAGCAGCTGGCGGTGGGGATGGGGTGGGAAAATTAAGGAGATGTTGGTCAACGGGTACAAACTTTCATTATAAGATGAATAAGTTCTGGTAAGTCTAACATACAGTATAGCAAGTGCAGTTAATACTGTCTTGTACACTAGAAATGAGCTAAGAGAGTAGATCTTAAGTTTTCTCAGCACAGCAGAAGGAAAAAAAAAGGGTAACTATGTGAGGTGACAGACATGAGAACCAACTTGACTGTGGGAATCATTTCACTGTGTATATGTAGTTCAAACCATCATGCTATACACCGTAAATATATACAACTTTCATTTGTCAATTATACCTCAATAAAGCTAGAAAAAAGTAGAGTTTAAACTATCATTGTGATTTGGCTCCAAAAGTGATGTTAAAATACAGAAAGAGCTTAGAGCATGGGAAGGAGGTAAGGGGACTTGAAGCTGTAACTGTGGATAAAAATGCAGAAGATACAGTGCTTTTAGTCAGACTGTATGCTTGTTCAGGGTGGCTTGGGTTGGGAGACTGATGGAGATTAAGGAAAACTAAATCAGCACCGTCATACCTCTTGATACCACCATTGTCTGACTAGCACACCTGAAGTTTACATTCATAGAAGTATGTTGTTCAAAATGAGGGGATAAGTTCCTTCTGGCCCTCTGGGTGCCAGGGGCTAAAGGAGATAGATTAACCAGATTGTCTAGAAAAAGAGGGAGAAAATGATAAAAGGATTGAAGCAAAATCCAAGTATTAGGAAATGGAGTACATCAACAGAACTGAGGATGCTGACTTTGGAGACAGAGCATAGCATCTCCCATGCAGAGCATGTTTCCACAATGTAAGAACTTTGAATACATGCATTGTCTCCAGAGGCCAAGAAATGGATGGTAAAAGATCCACAGACATTGTTGTTCAGTCGCTAAGTTCTGTGTGAGTCTTTGAGACCCCATGAACTACAGCATGCAAGGCTTCCCTGTCCTTCACTATCTCCCAGAGTTCTCTCAAATTCATGTCCATGATGCTATCTAACCATCTCATTCTCTGCCACCTCCTTCTCCTTTTGCCTTCAATCTTTCCCAGAATCAGGGTCTTTTCCAATGAGTTGGCTCTTCACATCAGATTACCAGTGACTTACTTTCTGTCCTAACAATTCATTAGGTTACATTTTCTTCTTTCAAAAGGAAAAGGCAACCTCCAGAATGGTAGAAAATATTTGCAAACCATGTATCAGATAAGGTGCTAATGTCCAAAATAATCAGATAAAGAACTCACACAACTCAGTAGCCAAAACCCCAAACAACCCATTAAAAAATGGACAAAAAAAGGTGAGTAGACATTTTCCAAAGAAGACATACATATGCCCAGCAGGTACATGAAAAAGTGCTCGTCATCACTAACCATCAGGGAAATGCAAGTCAAGCCACAGTGAGATATCACTTCGCATCTATTGGAATGACTATTGTAAAAAAGACAGGACATAGCAAGTGTTGGTGAGGGTAAGGAGCAAAGGGAACCCTTGCATGTTGTTCGTGGGAACAAAATGGTATAGCTAAGATGGAAAACTGTATGGAGGTTCTTCAGTTTCAAAACAGATTCCCATGTGATCCAGCAAACCCTCTATAGATTATATATCCAAAGGAAATGAAATCACAATCTCAAAGACATATCTGTACTCCAGAGTTCACTGCAGTGTTATTCACAATTGCCGAAGCAAGGAAACCACTTCAATGACGATAAATGGATGAAGAGATAAAGAAACTGCCACGTATATATGTGCAGTGGAGTGCCATTTACCACGGAAAAGAAGGAAATCCTCTCATTTGCAACAACATGACTGAACCTGGAGGACATTTTGCTAAGTGAAAGAAGCCAGACACAGAAAGCCAAATGCTACATGATCGCACTTATATGTGGAATCTAAAAAAGTCAAACTCACAGAACCAGAGAGGATAAGAGTGGTTACCAGCAGCTGGCGGTGGGGATGGGGTGGGAAAATTAAGGAGATGTTGGTCAACGGGTACAAACTTTCATTATAAGATGAATAAGTTCTGGTAAGTCTAACATACAGTATAGCAAGTGCAGTTAATACTGTCTTGTACACTAGAAATGAGCTAAGAGAGTAGATCTTAAGTTTTCTCAGCACAGCAGAAGGAAAAAAAAGGGTAACTATGTGAGGTGACAGACATGAGAACCAACTTGACTGTGGGAATCATTTCACTGTGTATATGTAGTTCAAACCATCATGCTATACACCGTAAATATATACAACTTTCATTTGTCAATTATACCTCAATAAAGCTAGAAAAAAGTAGAGTTTAAACTATCATTGTGATTTGGCTC